AATACTGGTTATGGGGGTACAACTTTTGCTAAGTAAAGATGAATAGTTTGGAATATTAGCATAATGCCATAAGGTTTTGGGTTAATTGCTATTGAAATAAAATAAAAATTAATAATACCGGTAAAGGTAATGTCAATTCAGCATTTTGCTGCCATGTGCATGTATATCATCATAAGAAGTATGAGTCATCCCTACAAATTAATGATGATCTTGAATCGACCAAAGTTTTTTGCTTTCTTGCATAAAAATACCAATGCTCGCACGATATTTCAATATCAAATACTATCCCATGTATTATTGTCTGCTATAAGACATAAACGCTTATCAAGTTCCTTTGTAAGTCGAAACTATCTTTATCTTTCGCTAGAAAATTATTCATCAAATATGATAAATCTTTTTTTGTAGTCACTATTCGATATTTACAATATTGTGACAGGGGAGGCGGATAAAGAGCATGACAAAGAAAATAGACCGAAAAAGAAGATATCAAAAAACCAACTTAAACGAGAAGCTAGACACAAAGCTCTTTATGAATCCTTTGAGAACCGGTTCAATGCCTTTTATTTACAACAATATGACGATGAAAGGTGGACAAAATTATATGACGCTATAAAACAGCCAGCAAGACATTGTGCCATGATTAACAAATACACAGATCAAACAAACATATCGGAAATGCTTGAATCAAGATTTGGATTAGAAAGATTAACGTATTTGGATGTTCCATGTTATTCGTTTCCAAATCGATTTCCACAACCAAAGGGGGACTCGAAAAATATATTTGATTTTTATCTTCTTGATGCAGCTTCAGTTTTGGCAACTCAAGCTTTGGACTTGAAACCAGATGATACGGTGCTTGATACTTGTGCTGCACCAGGTGGTAAATCTTTGGCAATTCTTCAAAGATTATCCGCAAAGGGTCACTTGACAGCTAATGAGCCATCTTTTGATCGTCGACGTAGACTCAACAGAGTCATTTCTGATTATATTCCATTACAATTACGATCTCGTATTAATGTGGTTCGCGAGTATCCAAAAGAGAACTATCTATATGATAAAGTATTGGTGGATGTTCCATGTTCCGCGGAACGACATTTACTCGCCAGCGAAACAGAATTCGAACATTGGAATGAAAATAGATCTAAAAAACTCGCCAAAAAACAATTTATTATTCTTTGTGATGCGGTAAAATCATTGAAGGTTAATGGATTACTTGTTTATATAACATGTTCGATTAGTCAATTCGAGAACGATGATTTAACAGAAAGATTTTTGCGTGAGAGTTGGGTTCCATTAGAGTTGATACAAAAGGAATGGCCTGTCGGTGAAAAAACAAAATTTGGGTGGATTGTTTTACCGGATAGGAATGATGGATGGGGACCAATGTATTTTTCAATTATGAAAAGAATTGGTGCATGGAATGATGGTATTAAAACTTTGCGAGGTCGTGGAAAGGAACAATGAAATCAATTAATAGACGTATACTTTTTTTCTAATTAATCTAGTAAATTTGCCGATCATCTGAATATAAATGTACATGTATTAACACAAGATGTGTAACAATAGCAAAAAAGGGCTGAATTGTAGTTCCATAAAAATTCTGCATGCAGAACATTTATTTAATCAAATCATATCAATAAGATGAGTTGACGACATTAATACATGTAGTTGGAAAATTTGAATTAACTATAACGAATAATCATTGTTCATTAATGTATCATCATTACTGTGCAAGAGATGAACTTGTCGCCAATTAAATTCACGCAGTCAGGTTAGTCATCGAGATTGTGGGCTTTGCATCATCCTGTTCGTTATTAATAGTTGACCTAATAAAGTTTCTAGGTCCGAAACGA